GTTTCTTGCATTTTCTCTTAGCCACTTCAACTGTTAGTCTTCATGCTGTGCTATTCACCATGACTGTTAATGATTCAGTATCATGTTTGGCATTACTCGGAAGTTTCTTCTACTTTGAGAAATCAATTCATTGGTCTTTTGAACTAGAAATTGGTCTCTTCATCGTCTGTATATGTCGTGTTGAAGAGAAAGTTTTCATCGAGTGTTTGTTGTGATTCAAGCATTCAATACAAAGATGGGTTATGATATTGGCCTAGTCCAACACTCGGACAGTATATACTTTACTTGAACCCTATTGTGGGAGTAAAATTACCTCTAATAACCTACAATGGTGGTTTCTTCCAGTCATTGTAGTCTCAGGTGAGAAGAAATTGGAAGAGTAAATACCAAAGAGAACAACATCATTTTCTTGAACAATATCGTAAGGCAAATATGACTAATTACTAGTTTATAGGAGGGTTATCGCCTCCAATACCCAACATGACCTTACTCAATGTTTACCACTGTACTACTGATGAGAATTCAGTAGGTTATGAAAAGCAGATGGTTAGGTGTTTGTGTGTTGAAATGCGCAGTTAGAGGAAGTGTAATTAAGATGGAGGGAATCCCCGTGTGTGGGGGGTATAGCTCAGTGGTAGAGCATTCGACTGCAGATCGAGAGGTCCCTGGTTCAAGTCCGGGTGCTCCCTAGTGCTACGACATTTTAATGATGACAATTAGAGTTATGACTTATACCATGCATTAAATAATTTAGCAATTTAGGTGCGCAAATCTATGCCTTTATTAATGCTTTCAATGTCATTAATCAACTTTGCTCGCGTAGGAGAGGCTAGTGCTTATTTGATTTCTAAAGCCTCCCTTTATGAAACTTATTTATTTATTTATATCAAATGGCAGGCGTCTTGATGGTCATCATTAGCCCTTTAGTTGACTTCAGGCTTCACAGAGGGGAAGTAACATCAAATTAAAAAAAACCGAGAGAGGAGAACAGAAAGGTGTTTCAAAGATGTAAGAGGTCGACACATAGGTAGTAAAAAGGTGAGTTGAGTACTGTGAAAATATTCAAATATGGCATATAGTGAGGTGAAGGTAGTTTGAGGTGAGAAGTCAACTGCCGGTTAATAGACTTTTTTTGCCGTATGAGTTTACGTTGCCCAGGGTGCACCACGTGGGGGTAAGTCTATCGCACACCCCCCCCTCTTTATGAAACTTAATATAAGAAATTCCTACATCTGAGCATTTTTATTTACCTTCTCAAAATCCCCTGCTGAAATACAGTCTCATGAATAATAAAGGACAGTTAAGGAATAGGTTTTTGAAATAATGCATGCACCAAACTCCTTTGTGTATATGAAGCTAAATTACTGACAAAAGGATAATCAATTAGTGCTTCCCGTCCTTCTGTCTGAGAGATCTCTTCATTCACGACCACACTTGCTCCCCATCCCATCAAATTGCACTGACGCACCTTCCAGTCTGCCTGAATGCACAAGAGGTTTCGGTATTCAACTACAATGTCATTTTGTGCACTCCACTGCCAATTAAGGTGGATTCACCGTTTGAATGATGTACTTAGAGGATTTGAGTGCACGGTTGTTATGGAAAGATGACTATTCGTCATATTGAATCCCAGAGGGGAGTGAATCCAGCTGCCACACTAGTTGTTTCTATTTACTGATTGGACTTTATCGCTTTTCCAGTGCCTTAACGCTTCAGCCGCCAGTGATTCCACATTGGTTGCTAATTGCTAAATAAGATATTGTAATGAATGATTGCAAGGCGAAGGATGGAGCAACGAATCACATCCCGTAACTCATTCAAAAATCACCTTCATTAGGAATAAGTTTGTTTTAATTACTATGAGCTTTTTTGCGCTGTCTCTAAGCCAGAATAAATGTGTATCCCCCTGTTGTGATATTCGTATTGGCATGAGTTTTTCTCAAGGCAATGGAAGGAGATTGTTAGTAAAACTAATTCTTTGGTCTTTTGAGCGAGTATTTGATCTCTTTGACGCTCGTACAAGCTTGTTGAGAAGAAGATTACCATCAAGTGCTGACTTCAAGGTAGAGATTCAAGTCTCAAGTCTTCATTCAAGTCGCCATTTTATGCAAGGATTCTTTGGAGATTGTTGTGGTGTGTAAACTAGTGACCATAATCTCCCCACTTTAATGGAAAATGAGAAACATTATAAAATAAACTATTTTCTAACATGATTCAGGTGGGCGTCTCTCAATTATTCAATTTGTCTCCACGAACGTGAATGAGCATCTGGATAATTTAACTTCACTTTGAACATTCAATCGATATCTTAATTTTAAAAAGTGTTAAAGAAAGATTTAATTTCCAGCATTTCACGGCATTATTTTACTGAAATCATATTAGGAACATTTTCCTGATCTAATTAGGCAGCACCCACAACGATACGTCATTACATTAACTGAAATCGGATAGATTTTACCAATTAATTAACGAGAATCGAAATTCAATTTAAATATCGTCTTCTGATTTGTATCAGCGCTTATGACTTGTATTTTATTTGTCGATGAAACCGATTTAAAGCAATTACAGCACTTATGGATTCGTTTACTCAAACCAATCAACAATCGTATTTGAAATCAGTTAATAAAACTTTCAATGAACTTTAAAAGATGTTCAGCTGAGGGGCCTTGTGGTCGCACGACCCACCACAGTTTCCACACAATTCGAAATGTTGAACATGAAATAATGCTAGTATATTAGAGCTCATGGAAAGTGGAATTTAGTAAGTTGAAAAGTTGAAAAGTTAAGAAGTTAATTTAAAATCAATGAACCGCAAAGAGATTCACCATTGAGAAATCAGTTGACCGTAAAAGTTGCCAACCGGGTGGTCACAACATTACTGAGAGATAGATACTAGGATAGTAATTTGAAATCTTTTGTGTGGACGTAACAATTTTCAGCAGACATCGTCCTCATTTACAAGAGTTGAAAAAGATGATTACTGCCATACAGTGTATTCCACTCTCTTATATCTGTCATCAGATGGGATAGTTCTTCCAGCGCAAGCACAACCACTGCAATTCAAAATTATCTTCACCTGTCATTCAAACATTAATACAATATGTCTGCTGATGAGTTAGAGTAGCACTCACATGACGAGTAGTAGACCAACGCTTTACAATATCCACACACAGTCAGGTAAATTAGAGGAAGTTTTGTGAAGGTCAATAGTCGATAGTTTTGTGTAGGGAAGATGAAATTGGGGTTAACCTTTTGGCTATAGTATCTATAACAACATACACGACATAACAGAATGTAAACGAAGTGAGGTAATGATGTGTTCCTTTATGACGAAGTATTAACCAATGAGCCAATCAGATTGCTTAAGAGACTTTAGTAACAATTGTACGCTTAATGGGTTTTAATTTGACCAATGATTTTCTTGTAGATTATAAACAATGCCCTAAAACCTCACATTATCCTTGTTTCATTGCTTAAACCCGCATAAAATTGACGGAAGGATAATTAAACTTAATTTTATTCAGCCAGAGTGCCAATTTTGGATCTTGTTATTGCTATCAATGAAATCAATTTTGGTTTGGAGTAAAGAATTTTACAATAAATTTAAACAATAATCAAGAGTTTATAATGAAATTATCTATGACTAATCAAAGTAATGAACTTTTGTCAAATACTTGTTTAGAACCAACAATAAATTGTTACGAATTTTTCTTACTTCATTTCAATAGCCCTAGTACATAGAAAAGACAAATTATCAAATTAAAACTCATAAAATGAACACTAATAAAACATTTGTAAATAATTATTGAAATTTGAAATACAAAGTTCGACCATATAAATGTTTAATTTCGTAAAAATTCATGCAAACATAAAACAAGTGTTTTGGGGCATAAATTTTGATTTATATACTGTAGTTATAAATATTTATTGCTCAGATAAAACCTGTGAAATCGCTTTTCTTAAGTACCCAACTAATTCTTTGATATTATAGAGCAAAAGTTAAGTAAAATGTGAATTAATTTAAAAAGTGCCTGCCTTTTACTTAAATATTTGAACATTTTCAAAATTAAAGTTTTTGCAAATTGCGATCATAACTTGGGCTGTTTGATTAATTCCATAATTTACTGAATACTTTATTTCAGTTAAATATTTTGCTTTTGACAAATCAGTTGCAACTGTGATATGACTCTGTAAATCGGAGATGATCTCTGAAATTAGTAATGAAATATCTGCCGCATCAGCAATGATAAAAATATCTGCCACTTTCCCTATTTCACTGCGTGTGTAAAATGTCAGTTGCCAAAATTAATTTATTTGATTGGTTGCTTTGTGTGATTTTCTAATTAAACTCAAGGTGTAGAATTCTCCCTACTTTTTCATCGGAGCAATATAACTTCATTTGTTCTGATATTTCAATTCATATTTCACTTACACAAATCGCATCATGTCAGGCAATGTTGGAATACAAATTAGGTTGTTCACTTTCGTGGAGCTCCTAGCATTTTCAATCCTCTACAAGGGTTAGGAGTGTGGACGACTATTTGATGTTAAATGCCGAGCCAGTGAACCAAAAATGCATATGATCCTCACCTTTATATCACTAGGAGGAATACTTGCATTACTTGCAGGAATACTTTATTTGATAAACATTTCTAATGAAATGAACAGACTCAAAATTCTCGCCACAGTATTTACTGTCCTTGCAGCATGCTCGGCTACTTCCGCAATGTTATATTTCTACATTGATACGCCAACTGGGTCGTCAAACATTTGGTGCCAAGTTATTGCCACGTTCGCCTCTGGTTTCGGTTCGGGAATCATGCTCTGTCTTCTCGGTACTCTTTGTGAATATCGTCTATAGATACAATGGAAGTATTTCCCTTTAATAAATATTCCCTTCCTAAACTTTTTTTTAAATATTTTTTCTCAAAGTTAAATTTTTAGTTAATACTGAAATAGCTTATCTCGCAGATAATCAAAATACGCCTTTCATTCATAAATGGGCTTCAAAAGTCAATAAATAAGTACAGATACATATTAAATATGTGCTCTTTTAAAGTAAAGCTGCTACTAAGTTAGCCATGTTTTATCATATTTAAGATTATTAACACGATTTAATGCAGTAAGACAAATTATCCTGGTTGAACATTGCACCAGGGAATTCGATTCAATAAGGGAGAATGAAACTCAAAAATCTGAGTTTTGGAAAATAGATAAAAGATTAAGCAAATAGTGAATAATCCGAGTCCAAAGTTTAAATGGAATTTGACTCGCTGACATTTCCAAGTTTAAATCAATATCAGTTTGTTGCCTTCTCTCCTACACTTCCAGGCTTTCCATCAACCGATTCCAGATACTGCCATAATTAGGAATTGTTATTTTATTTTGTGCTCTCTGATAAAAATAAAAAAGTTTTTAATTTCTAGAGGATTCATGTGCATGTATTGAACTCCGTAGATACAAATCGTTTAACATGCAGCATTCATATGTTAACACAGAAGATGGAGGAGTAACCGTGTTGAATAGAGCAGAAATACACAAACTGCGAGAGAATAATACGATTGGCCAGCTCAAATTTCCCATACTAAGGAAGTATCTCAAGACAAGTACTCAAAACATGGAGATATTTGTAGAGAAGTATTTTAATTTTTACAAACGCATTTTTAATTTAAGTAGGTATTCTGGTCTAAAGACATGAATTTTAGGTCGGTTTTTGAAGTGCTGTAAAAAAGCACGCAATATTTTATTATCATTTTTTATACATTATTTATTTAAATTAGAAGCTTACAAAAAGGTAAAAAATTTAAAATTCCGTTAGTTATCTGTTGATGGAATGGGGCGTCTCAAAAATTTGGTGCGTGACCATAACCACGATTTTAACTCTCCTAGCAATCTGAAATCAATAAATAAATAAGATTATCAATCTACAAAAATGTCCCAATGTCTGAAACTACGGAAGAGTTACAGAAATATTTTTCAAAAAATGGCGACTGCATAAAGAAAAAATTTTTATACCACTTTTTTGAATATTTTTCGATTTTTTAAAAATAGTAAAAATAAAAATTAGGGAAAGGCCGTAGTTCCGGACATAACATTTCAAGTAAATCGGTTGGGCAGAATCTGAGAAATCGTGGATATCCGATTCAAAAAAACAGTTTTGAGAAAAACGCGTTCAAATTTTCAAGTAAAATATTTTGATGTCTAAGTCATATTTTTAACTTGCATTTATTCAATCTGACATTCCTGCTGCATATATCGGATCTTCCTCGACTTTGAAAAAAACTATTTTTGGTGTTTCAGCTTTCTATTCTAGCAGTTCTGGCCTCCTTTGATGCGCTGGATGCTTGTATCTTGGAGCGGTCAATCCGAGCGTTGTCTCGTCTGATAGCAAAGGCATGCGTTTCTGGACCAATTTTCACTCCCATAATCGTCATTATCTTCAATATCGGTATAAATC